TTTAATGTTTACTTATTATTTTTGAGAGAGAGAGAGAGAGAGAGTGAGTAGGGGAGGGGAAGAGAGAGGGGGTGGTAGACAGAGGATACAAAGCAGGCTTTGCACTGACAGCAGAGAGCCTGACGCGGGGCTCAAACTCACAAGCCGTGAGTTCATGACCTGAGCCGAGGTCAGACACTCAACTGCCTGAACCACCCAGGTTCCAACCAGGCGCCCCCTTGTCAAGATTTTTATAGCCTCTTTCTGATTTTAATGATTTCTTTCCCCAGTACTGGAGATTTTTGGTTACTTTAGCAATAGTTTTCAGGTCTGTGAGAGATCTAGAAGGGGAAGAGACATTATTTAGAAACTGGAACGGTAGCCAAGTTTGGGAGCGTGCATTTTAAATTTCTCTTTTGACTTTTACTGGGTTCGGTTCAGTAAAAAGGCTGTGATGTGATGAGAATTTACTTCCAAGTATCAATTGTGAAAAAATAGACTTACAAAATGATGTCTATTCCTAATAAGATATTTGTAATGCAATCCTAATCAGACTCTTTGTCATTTTTCAGCTGTACAAAGAAATTGAAATTTGTCCAAAAGTCACTCAGAACATCCAGATTGAGAAGTCAGATACAGCCAGTGATAATTATGGTATGTTTATTTTTCTCTGATCTTTGGTGTTTTTCAAGTTAAAGCAATTCTTGTGTAAACAGGCACTTACTTACAATTCAGTAAAACGTCTTTGGGGCCTATTTAAAACAGATAGCACATCTGGCTTCTGTGCTATATACACAGAGGCCAAACGGGGGGGGGGGGGAAGGGAAGAGATTTACTGTGGGTACCATGCAGACTTCAGCCTAAACTTCATAGCTTTAATCATTGGGGTTAAATTTCATAACTTTGGGTCACTGGGGTTCTGTCGTAAATAGGAAATGCGTGTATCAGGAATAGATTGTAGTATGATATACCCTAGTAATGAAGAAATGATCCCTTCACACCCCTCTTCCTCAAACATACTCATTATTCTCCCTTCCCCCACAAATAATGTAAAAAGAACTTATTTCGGTGTTGTGCTGGGGGTCCCCAAGACCACCCCTACGTTTGCTGATCCACTAAGAGGACGCATAGGACTCAGGAGATCGTCCTGGTCATGACTGTGAGTTATTACAGAGAAGCTATAATAACAGCATCAATAAAGGGAAAAGGCACATGGGGTGAGGTCTGAGGAAAGTGGGTGCAAGCTTCCAAGAGTCCTTCCCCAGTCATACGGGACGTCCTCGATTCCCCCAGCGACAAGCTGGGACAGTGCACGTGGGGTGTTGTCTAGCGGGGAAGTTTGTTGGAGACTCAGTGCCCAGTCATGTAGATGCACTCTACCTAGCATGTACCAAAGTTTCAGGCTCCCAGCAGGGGAAAGCTGGAGTTCGGCGTCAGCCGTATTGTTTGTACAAATTTTAGGCCCGGTGAGTCTCGTCAGGGTGTTGGGAACCCACCCAAAATTCAAGTTCCCGGATGGCCAGCCAGGGGCCAAACTTATAAGCAGGCCTTTGAAAGAATAACAGATCTGCCATGTTGATGGTTTTCTACACAGTTGTCTGCATTCTGGCATAGCCGAATATGTCGTCCCTTCATATGTCCCAGACTGCTTAGCATCACACTGTATGATTTGAATAGCAGTGGAGTTGGTGCTTGAGGAAACCACGAGGGGAAATCCAGACAGTGATATTAGTCAGGAGTGGCGAGGTTGGCCGAGGTGGCTCAGAACAGTGAAATGGGCTTCCTGAATTCACCGTGCATCCTTTGTGGCTTGACTCGACTCTATGTTACCCTCACTCTCGGGCACAGGCCTGCAGCGGCCGCCTGGGGCGTTGTCTGTCTCTTGGCGGAGGGGAAGAGAGAAGGCGCGGTGAGCCAGGTGCTGGTGACCTCACAGTTTATTGTCAAAGCCAGTCCCCTGGCCCCGCCTGCCCCCAAGGGGCGGGGGACTCTAGCCCTGCTATTTGTGGGAAGGAAGAGAACCAGAAAGCCTGATGCAGACACGTGGAGCTTACCGTCTTTGCTCATTTACGGTTTCTCTCTGAATTAAGTTAATTTGGCTTCTTAGCATTTGAGCATCTTCAGAACTTTCACTGACCAGCAGGATGGCAGAATCATTCTGCAGTCGCTCCCACAGGCCACTACTCTTCATCTTTGAACATTCCTTAGGGTATTTGGCCTAATGAAGAGAACCTCATTTTGGACCCTGGTCACTTGCATTGCACCTTCATGCTGTTTACTTCTTGACCTTGAAACTAAAGACATCATACACCCAGAGGATGTTTTTTGATGGCAGAGGATAAACATCTACAGAAGGCTTATTATGCATCGGAAGCGTGACCTTGGTAATTAAAGCAGTAGTTGGTGGCAGTGCTGTAACTTAAGTGTCTGGCTTCTCCAAAGTGAGATGCACCGTGACAGTTATTCTTTTCTCTTTAAGTAGCAAGAAGCAAGACAGGGCTGAATTTAAAGGTCTTGGAATGAAACTGTAAGATTGACGGGTGCTTGGACTCGGGAACTGGGCATAAAGCCGCTATGCTTTTGAGGCGTGTGGGTGGCTCAGTTGGTTAAGCGTCCAACTTCGACTCAGGTCATGATCTTACGGTTCGTGGGTTCGAGCCCTGTGTCGGGCTTCAGACTGACAGCTCAGTGCCTGCAGCCTGCTGTGATTCTGTCTCCCTCTCCCTCTGCCCCTCCCCCATTCATGCTCTGTCTCTCTCTGTCGCAAAAATAAATAAAACATTAAAAAAAAATCTCTAAAAAAAAAGCTATACTTTTTATATGTTTTTATCGACTCAAGCGCTCACAGACCCCATTTACATTTCCACCCTGAAGGTATTTTAGCACCTCAGGCGTCACCCTGGAAAGTATCGTCAACAGTGCTTCTCAAAATATCTGAGGTAAAGAAGCAGGGTGTTTTGTTTTGTTTTAACAGTCTGTCGTGGACCGCCACTGCTTTTGTAAACTCTCAAAGCTCATGCTTGGAGGTGTGCCATTGTCTAACGGCTGGGCTCACAGTGCTTAATCTCAGTTTCTGTCTATGTTACTATCAGTCACCAATGGACTTCACTTTCTAGAGCCTGCTATGTGTGGCTAATAACCTCAGTATAACCATTTATTCTGAGCGCCCAGTTCATGCTGGTGGAAGGTGTTCCAACAGCGTATTGACGGAGAAGTTAAAGAGTCCCTCATCCTAAGAGACTTACTTGGTTGCCTCTGACCTCAGAACTATCAAGGATTCTTTTTTTTTTTTTTTTTTAATTTCTGAGAGAGACAGAGCATAAGTGGGGGAGGGACAGAGAGAATCCGGAGCAGGCTCCATGATCCGAACTGTGAGCAGACCCTGATGCGGGGCTTGAACTCAAGGACTGCGAGATCATGACCTGAGCTGAAGTCAGACGCTTTACCAACTTGGTGCCCCCGAGGATTCTTTTTTTTTTTTTTTAAGTTTATTTATTTATTTTGAGAGCAAGAGAGCACTTGAGCAGGGGAGGGGCAGAGAGAGAGGATCCCAAGCAGGCCCTGTGCTGCCAGCACAGAGCCCGATGCAGGGTTTGATCTCATGAACAGTGAGATTATGACCTGAGCCAAAATTGAGAGTCGGGGGCTTAACCAACTGAGCCACCCAGGTGTCCCCAGAACTACCAAGGATTCTAAATTCAGCTCAGCAGTATTTAACGTTAGCACCTACTCAAGTCTGGCTTCCTGCCGTACGTTGAGCTCAATATATATACAGTGCAGTATATATATAAGTTACTAGCATATGCCAACATACAAAAATCCAAACACAAACTACATGCTGTCTTCTATTTTAGAACACTTTAGGGAGGAAAATAGGGCTTAATAATCCAACTGACTGAACCAGTGGAAAGATTTGACACTTCCTTTTCTTTTCTTTTCTTTTCTTTTTTTTTTTGTTTATTTATTTGAGAGAGAGAGAATGAGCAGGGGAGAGGCAGAGAGAGAGGGAGAGAGAGAATCCCAAACAGGCTCCACACCGTCAGTGCAGAGCCCAATGTGGAGCTCAAACCTGTGAGCCTCGAGATCATGATCTGAGCCATAAACAAGAGTCGGCCACTCAACTGACTGAGCCACCCAGGCGCCCCAAGATTTGGCCCTTCCTTAATCTCTCTTAGTCGCCCTTCCCTGCATCTCAACCTGAACTGATTGTTGAAATTAGTTCACAGAGTTATGACATAGACTAAGCATGACCCCCAGGCTGCCTTGAAGTAAAGGATGCATCGTTGCAGCAAGTGAACATTCCTTCTTCTACGGGGACTTCTGCTGTTGCATTTTTGGTCACATGTACCATTTCTATCAGAGGTGTCCACACTTGTCCTATTTTCTGAATTTCCCTGTATCCTGGAATCTGGTTTTGAGTACTCCCCTGCTGTTTCTGATGACGCCATGACTTTTCCTCGGTTATAGGTTTTAGTATGAGGGACCTTCTGGTTGCTCATCACAGGCGTTTGTCTTCTTGGTTTCTCTTCTTAGTTTTAATCACTTCCTTTCATTCTTGAGAGCATTATTGCCGCTCGTGGTGCCTCCTCCTGGTGGGTTAAGTTGGGTTTATTTTGAATAACTCCCTCTGCCTCCTGTTGGCAGTCATCTGGGGCTATGTTACGTTTATTGGCTGGGAATTAGATTGTTGCTATCCTATTTGAAAGGAAGAAAAAAACTGTGTTTTCCAGTGATCTCAAAATAATCCAACGGTAGGATATACAATATTTTCCTTACATGTGTTAATTTAGGAGATGGCTGTAATCCCCCTCCGCTGCGTGGGCACAGTACTGGCATCTCAAAATGGAGGCTGCTCCCTGAGACTCTGAGAGCCCGAGGTAGTGTGTGCTGTGTAGCTGAGTGTGGGGAGAGCTGCCTTTCTGAATACTGGGAGGGGGTCCTGTTTGCCTGACCCCCCAACAGGTGTCTTCCAATATGAATTCCAGTGCAGAGGTGAAGTGCCGTTTCCCTTTGTGAATGTTGGCTTCCCTTGAATGAACTTCCAGAAAACTTACTGCAAAAGCTTTCTTCAGCAGTCCTGTCACAGAGATTTCCCACCAACTATAGGGGTCTGATCTCTTTCTCGGAGCCATGCTTGCCCAGCACCAATCTCATAGTCGCTTGTAGTCATTATTATTATCTTTTGATTATTTAAAAAAAAAAATAGACCAAGAAAAGAGGGAAGGGGGCAAAGGAATAGTTCAGCCATCTCCACTGATTTTGGCCTCATGTGGTTTGTATCAGGCTCTCAACTGTCACCTCTCCTGGCATCTTCTGATCTTGTCCCCTGGCACCTTGTCATTTGCCCACTTTTTTTTTTTTTAATGTTTATTTATTTTGAGAGAGAGAAAGAGTTGGGGAGGGTCAGGGAGAGGGAGAGAAAGAGAGAATCCCAAGCAGGCTCCACGTTCAGCACAGAGCCCGACATGGGGCTTGATCTCACAGCCACAAGATCACAACCCGAACTGATCTCAAGAGTCAAACGCCCAACCAACTGAGCCACCCAGGTGCCCCTGCTCACTTGTTTTAATAGAAAAAGAAATGTGGTCTCAAAACTTGACAGAAACTCGGCATTTCAGAAAGGAAATGCCTATATTTTAATGAATTTGTATCCATTCTTTCTCTTGGCATTGCCCCTGATTCTGCATCTACTCTAACAGATAAGGGAAATTCTCTACTGAAATGCAAATAGATAAACCTGTGTTAGGGCTAATATCACTTAATTGGCTCATGTATAAAATTATTTTTACTTGAGTGAGTCTTCTTCTTTTTTTTTTTTTTTTTTTTTTTTACTTTAAAGTTTATTTTGAGAGACAGAGAGGGCACGAGCAGGGTAGGGACAGAGAGAGAGGGGGGGAGAGAGAGAGAGTCCCAAGCAGGCTCCTCACTGTCCGTATAGATCCGAACGTGGGGATCGAATTCACGAATCATGACCTGAGCCGAAATCAAGAGTCAGACGCTTAACCAACTGAGCCACCCAGGGGCCCCGATTTGAGTGGGTCTTCTTGAAACATAATCTGAATGTTACAAGTTGCTGTAAGAATGGAATTCAAAGTACGAGTCAAATAAAGACCAGAAAGTCCTCAGGGTATGGCCTGTGTTTCCCCATCTGAGGGAGTTATGATACTGTAGTGGGCGAAGACAGTTGGTAGTTTTGCCTAAGTGTGGGTATCTATTTCCTGATCCTGTGAACTAAACAGAAAAACCCATGTTCTTTATGACATGGCCTGAAAAGTCTTGATGACTCCCTGGGTCTCAGTCCTGTAATTTATTATTCAGTCTTGTTGTTATTTGCTTATTTGCTCTTCAAAAGCACTGTGATTTTTTTTCTGCCTTCACCCTTAAGGTAAGTACCTATATTAGGGGATTATTCTTCTCCCAGACCTGAAATTATGTCATATCTTCACAACTGCATTAATTCTGATTGCTCTTTTAGGGGTGTTTGCCACAGTCTCTTATTTGAGGGAAAGGAGATAACAGATCAGAAAAGACTTTTAAGTAATCTCGGGGTGTCTGGTGGCTCAGTTTGTTAAGCCTCCCGACTCTTGAGTTCAGCTCAGGTCATGATCTCACAGTTCGTGAGATCGAGCCCCGTGTCGGGCTCTCCACCGAGCCTTCTTGGGATTCTCTCTCTCTGTCTCTCTCTTTCTCTCTCTTTCTCTTTCTCTCTCCCCTCCCCTGTTGCACTGTCTCACCCTCTCTCAAAATAAATCAATTTACATTAAAAAGATAATAAAAATCTCTGTACCCAGCTTGGGGCTGGAACTCATGACCTTGAGATCAAGAGTTGGATGCTCCACTGACTGAGCCAGCCAGTCACCCTGATCAGAAAAGAGTTGTAATGAGACTGTCTAGAAACTGAGGTGCCCAGGGCTTGTGGCCACGGAATTAGAAGCCCCTCAGATCCCCAAACCACCTGGAAACTCAGGGTCTGGTTCTGCGTTTTTTCCCGAAGGATGTAGCAAGCCCAAGATTGATTAGCTAATGGGCTTTGGGCTCTGGAAGGCTGGACAAGTATAAGATAATCTTATGATCACACTCTAGTAGAATGTGCAATCAATGAATTTGAGTATAAAATAAGATTTGTAAAGTAAGTCACTACTTAATCCCCATATGCAGAGATTTATTAAATTAAACTCGGTGTCCATATAGCAATACATATGGCTGGACACATACCATATAGTTGTTCAGGTGTAACATATCTTAGGACAAGGATTGCCTGCAAAAAGCCGAAGGACCCAGTTGAAATATATGCTAATCATCCCGTTTGCACTGTGGAGGGGACAATGGAAAAAATAAAACTGTGGCATTTGCTAGCCAGCAAGGTAAAACAAAATAATTTTCTTCCATTTGGGTTGATAGGTAGGTGGTGTGAGGAGAGATGTACCTGGTAATGTTAATTTTTGCAAGTAGTGGCTTTTTTAGAGTGATCTAAAAATACATTTTTTTTTTGTGCTTTGTAAAATAATACGAACAAGGAAAAAACAATCGCTCCAAACTGTAACCAAAAACATTGAACATACTTAGTTCACAGCAGGTATTTTGTGTTGTTTGGCAAACATTCGGAAGGTGTGAGCTCTACCATTCTGTCTTTGTGTTTTCTAGGCTTTTCCCTTTCCTCTGTGGAAGAAGATGGCGTTCGAAGGCTCTATGTGAATAGTGTAAAGGAAACTGGCTTAGCTTCCAAGAAAGGTAAGTGACTGAGTACCGTAACTGTCTGTCTCTCTTGAAATCCCTTGGGAGTTTCTCTGGTTGGTGGATGAGAAAGACACCCCCAAAGAGTTCACCGGTAAAGATTATTTGAACGTTGTCTCCTTGAAAACCCTCCCAGGGAATATGCATATTGTTCTATAAACGCAAGTGTTTAAGAAATGCCACATTTTGGATCTTAAATCTGATTCTGCGCCCATTTCCTTGGGGCTGGTGGGAAATTCCATTCTAATCTGACATGATCATCTTTCGATGGTATGGAGGTCCTAGGGGTTTTCCTGAAGCAGCATTTGGGAACAGCCCTCTGTGCTCCGGTGGCCAGAGCTGATGCTGGCTCTCCCCTGAACCTGCAAAGCTCCTTCAGAGTGGCTGTGGTCCTGCTCCCGCTCATGAAGGGACCTTTGCAGAAGTTGAGAACCTAGGGTTTCAGAATCCAGTCTTCTTGCCCCACGGAGAGAGCTCTGTTCTGCCACACCCCGCCTGTGGCCCTCCCAGGGCTCACTGCGGTCTGGGCTACTTGCGAAACCCCAACTCTCTTTCCTCTTTCTACTCAGAGAGAATCTTTTCAGCCTAGATTTTTTTGCTTCCTGTGATGGTTTCCTAGGGCTGCAGTAACAAATTATCACAAACTGAGTGATTAAAAACAGCAGAAATTTATGTTTTTACGGTTCAGGAGGCCAGACGGTCAGAATCCGAGTATGGGCGGGGTTGTTTCCTTCTGGCGCCTCTGACAGAAGAATCTGTCCCATGCCTCCCCCTTGCTTCCAGTGGCTGCTGGCAGTCCTTGGCAGTCCTTGGCTTGTGATTGCGTCCCTCTAATCTCTCTGTCTTTCATCACATGGCCTTCTTTCCTGTGTGTCTCTGCATCTTTACATGGCCTTCTTATAAGAATACCGGTCATTGGATGTAGAGCCCATCCTAATCCAGTGTGATTTCATCTTTAACGTAATTACATCTGCAAAGACCCCATTAATTTTTTTTTTTTTAAGCTTATTTACTTATTTTGGGAGACAGAGACAGTGGTGGAAGTGTAGAGAGATGGGGGCGGGGAGAGAGAGAGAATCCCCAGCAGGCTCCACACAGCGCAGAGCCCGACGTGGGGCTCAAACTCACAAACCGTCTGATCATGACCTGAGCCGAAATCGAGTCAGACGCTTAACTGACTGAGCCACCCAGGCACCCCAAAGACCCTAGTTCCAACTAAGGTCACATTCTGATACTCTGGATGGACATGAGTTTGGGGGGTGGGGGGTGCACTTTTCAGCCTACCATACTTACCGTAAACAAATCAGGCTGCTAGATAGGGCTCAAAACCCACTTTCCTTTCATTCTCCTTGCTGTGGAACTTTTCGTTTCATCCAGGCAGCAGCCATATCATACCTGTCGAATAAAAGACCAAAACGTCTGGGTCAGTTGCACTTAGACGTAATGCCTTGCATCTGTCTGCTCTAGCAGACAAGAATGGAGGAGACAAGAAAATGGTGGAGTGGCCTACCTTGCCAACTCCTTCCATGTCTTGGTACAGCTCAGTTCTGGGTGTTCACGACCTTCGAGCTACCCACCCAGGTTACTTCCCCCTGTGCCGTAAGCCTCGGAGAAGGGCAGCCTGCACACTTGGCTGTGCACAGAAATGGCTGAAGTGTGACAAATGGGGAATAAAGTCAAAGTCATGTATTCACCGCCATCACAGAGGAGGATTTTCCTTCCATACTTTTCAAGGCCAAAGGCAGCCTGGAGGCGAGTCTCCACATTCACTAAGCTGTATCTCAGCTGGGAGCAGATGTGGCAGGGTTTGTTCTCCCACAAACCCAAAGTCTGATTGTTATCTCTTGCAGCACGATGAGTGTGCCCGTTGGCGTGGTATGGGGGTGGGGAAGTACGCTGCCTCAGTTTCAGTCACATCCTGTTTGAGTTCTTTGAATCCAGGAGCCCTGGTTTTAGATAAAAACAAATGGTTGTCTGTTCCAACCCACTTGCCTTGTATAGCACTGTCCTCTATAGATTTAAGAGTGATGTCCCTTTGTCCACTGGGGCCACAGACACACCCATGTAGAGGGCAGTGGCAAGCAAGAGACTTGGGTTGGGGCACCTGGGTGGCTCAGTTGGTTGAGCATCTGACTTTAGCACAGTGGTGATTTCGTGGTTTGTGAGGTCGAGCCCCACGTCGGACTGGCCCCTGCTGGCAGCCCAGAGCCCGTTTTGGGTCCTCTGTCCCCACAGCCTCTACCCCTCGCCTGCTCACGCTCTCTCACAAAAATAAATAAGCATTAGAAAAGAGAGAGAGATTTGGGTTTTTTAATGTTAATTCTAGCCTCTCTGTGCAGATGTCTGGATAATGGAGAGCTCACTATAGACCGTAAGGCCTCTTCTTGGAGATCTCTAATCACAAAACATTCTCCTTCTTCAGCTTCCATTTACCATTTTACCTTATTCTTCTCTAGAGACAGCCTTGGATGTCCATCATGTTATAACTAAGTCTCTTATTTATTTTTGTTAACCACCTGGGGCTTTTGGCCTATAATGAACTAATGGTGAATCCCCCTTTAATATCTGCCTACCCGTCCCCTGGATCTCGCGTTGGCTATACTTATGGAATTGACTCTTTGAACCAAAACCATAACACTTAATCTCTGTTCAACTTGGGTGTGCTCATTCTGGCCCATCATTCTTCTCTTGGGGTCATCTGAGGCTGGGAGCTGGCATCTTGTTTGCTGTCCTCCCGAGTGTTTCTCTGATGGCTCCACAGGACAGAGCCCGGTCGAGAAAACCATGTGCTTCTTTCTCCAGGGCAGAGTATCTTCTAGATACTTCACAGCTTTTGCCACGGTCAATTATGGGGATTGCTTCTAAGCAGGCTGTGGTTTTCTGTTAGAAAGAAAACCTTTTCCTTTTTCTTCTGCTACATACTGATGAGAGCTCATGTCTAGTGAATACCTTCAACGTGCCAAATGCTGTGCTAAGAGTTTTACATGGGTTACTTCACTTAGTCTCAGCGCACGGTCACTTTTACGTATGAGGAAACGGGGGCTGGGAGAGATTCAGTAACATGCCCGCGGTCACAGAGCTGTTACGCGGTCACACTGTGACAGCAGGACCCCAGTGAGGCACTTCATTGCTCACTACTGCTGGGCTGTCTACACTCACGTATTAATACTGAGAATAACTCACTCAGGCAACTGCCTGTGGTCATTGTCTAGGTCTGCCATGACAAATGACCACAAGCTGGGTGTTTAAAACAACAGGAATGTGTCCTCTCACAGTTCTGGAGGCCAGAATTCTTAAACGAAGGTGTCAGCAGCTCCCTCTGAAGTCTCTAGGAAAGAATTCTTCTTTGTCCCCTCCAGCCTCTGACAGTTCTAGGTGTTCCTTGACCCCCAGCAGTATCTATCACCGCCCTGTTCACGTCTATCTTTTTTCTGTGCCTCTCTTCAGAGGACATTTATCAGTGGGTTTTTGACCCACCAGACAATCCTGCATGGTGTCATCTCAAGATCATTTATTTAATTATAACTGCAAAGATCCTGTTTCCAAATAAGGCCCCACTCACAGGTTCTGGGACATGGACATATTTTGGGGGGGGGGGTCACTGTTCAACCCACTATACACTTTTGCTACACCAGTCATGGTAAACCTGGAACTTCTTTAAAAAACAAAACAACGGGGCGCCTGGGTGGCTCAGTCAGTTGGGCCTCCGACTTCGGCTCAGGTCACGATCTCACGGTCCGTGAGTTCGAGCCCCGCGTCGGGCTCTGGGCTCATGGCTCAGAGCCTGGAGCCTGCTTCAGACTCTGTGTCTCCCTCTCTCTCTGCCCCTTGCCTGTTCGTGCTCTGTCTCTCTCTGTCCCAAAAATAAATAAACGTTAAAAAAAAAAAATTTAAAAAACAAAACAAAACAAAACTCCTAGATGTTTAAGTCCTGTCTTCTGTTTCTCCTTATATTACCTCCTCTAATGTCTAACCGAAAGGGTTGTCTCCGAGAGAAGACTTAAAAAACACCAAAAACAAACTACGTTCCACATGGGGGAATTTTGTGTTTTCATTTCAAATGCTGTGATGCCAAAATCTGTCACCTAAAACTGGAGTGCTTAGCTTCCCAGAATTCCACCTCTGAGTAGAGAAAAACATTTGTCTTCCGTTGCCTCCCCACTCCAAGCGTTTCCTGGAGTGTTTTATGGTAGAAGGTTGATGTCAAGTGTTTTGGAAGCCCGAGTACAGATAGCCAAGGGCTGTGACTCGGTGAAGCCGGGAAGTACGAACTTCTCTGTGGAAACACTTTCCCTCAGACTCAGAGGTGGGATCTGTGGATACCTGAGGAGCTGAGTGGCGTCTCACATCTGCAGTTTATTCATTTACCTTTGCCCTCACTCACTTCCCTTTCCAAGTTTGTTCTTCCACATGAGTCTTTAGAGTGAGAGTTGGACTCTTGTCTTCTTCGTAGCTGAAACAATATTTCCTTTCATGTTCTGCTCTAACCTCTCCCTTTCTCAAACTGCTGGAATGTTCTTTTAATACCAGGTTGAAACGCCGCAGGGTCCGTCACAACCTCTTGTTCTTTTGGGTTGGGCTAGTTCCCTTGGGTCCCAGACTTTGGCAACTCCCCCAGCATGCTTTGCAAAAGCAGCAGAACCTTTGGGGACCTTCCAAAAGATACTCACCCCGAAGCCGTGATATAGTTACAGAAAAGGCGGGAGGGGGGGTGTGGAGGGCAAAAAATGATCACATGTGGTTCTCTAGATTGTGTTTGAATTTGGAATAAGTTGATTTTCTATAGTCGTAGCCAGAAGAAGCTCACTGCACTTTGGTTCCATAGCAGTGAGCAAAGAGATGTTAGCTGGCCGTGCCACATGTGTGCACTGTCACACGAGTGTGTACAAAACATATTGATTATAGCAATCAGAGCATTTGTTTTCTTGTTTTTTAAAATTTTTTTAATGTTTATTTATTTTTGAGAAAGAGAGAGACAGAGCACAAGTAGGGGAGGGTCAGAGAGAGAGGGAGACACAGAATCCAAAGCAGGCTCCAGGCTCTGAGCTGTCAGCAGAGAGCCCGACGCGGGGCTCGAACCCACGAACCGCGAGATCATGCTCTGAGTTGAAGTCAGATGCTTAACCAACTGAGCCGCCCCAGCTACCCAGAGCATTTCTACCATTTCCCCTCAAAACTGAGGATGATAGCCGGAATTAGCATTTGTGAGGAGAAGGTGCCCAGAGCAGGTGGATTCGGGAAGGAGAAAATGTGTTTAGTTGGTGTGTGTGCAGGACAGACAGGCACGCTTGTCACGACCGAGTCCGGAGCCTTTGAGACCAGGGCCCGCATGATCACCTGGTGATCACTGTTGAGGACCAGAGCCTGTTTGCACTGGTGCCCGGGGCCGTGGGGCCCATGACAGGTGACTCCACGTGCCCTTTACAGCAGGGTTTCTACGCTGTTGTGATCTGACTCGATGCTGCGGCCGCCACTGCTTTTATGTGCGTGTGAAATGAAACATTTTCCGTCTCGCGTTGGCAGGCCTGAAAGCCGGAGATGAGATTCTCGAGATCAATAGCCGGGCTGCAGGCACCCTGAACTCCTCTGTGCTCAAAGATTTCCTCACGCAGCCGTCTCTGGGCCTCCTGGTGAGGACCTACCCCGAGCTGGTCGGGGGTGTGGAGCTGCTGGACTGCCCGCCCCACCGAGCGGACGGCCCCGCGGATCTCAACGACAGCCCCCTGGCCTTCCTCAGCAGCAACCCAGGTATGGCTGTGCCGTGTGCCGGACCCGCATCTGAGCCCAGGTCAGCCGGGACCTGCTGGGTGTGTGTGTGTGTGTGTGTGTGTGTGTGTGTGTGTGTGTTCCAGTGGCCTAGGGCCAGCAGGCCTAAGATGTACGAGTGAAATGAACTGGTTACGGAGTGTGTGCTTCCTGTTAATTTCCAGGGGTCAGGGGACTTGTGTTCTTGCGGAGTAACCGTTTGTCCACTAATCAACCTGTCACACATGCAGCTGCTGCTGCTGTGTATCATTTTGGAGAAAGTCGAATGGGTAGAGGCCCCCATGTCTCGGCTGTGGGTGGAGATGACAGAGATTCACCAAGGCTCCGGGTCCCCCCTCTGCCTTCCACGCCACCATCCCCCAAACCGTCGAGCCCGTGCTTTCCCTTCTGTGTGGGAGAGGGTACGGGCTGCCCCGCGTGGAAATACGCCCAGAGCTCTCATTTGGTCAGCTTCTCTTGGGCTCACCCGGTCTCCAGTCGGAGCAGGAGTCCACAGGTGCAACCGTGCCCTGCCTTACCCGCTGCGCTTCCTGCCCTCAGCCTTTCTCCCTATCCCTTTGTAACCTTGTGCTTACCCTAAAAGAAGCAACTTGGGGGCACCCGGGTGGCTCAGTCAGTTAAGTATCTGACTTCGGCTCAGCTCATGATCTCATGGTTTGTGAGTTTGGGCCTCGCATCAGGCTCTGCACTGACAGTGTGGAGCCTGCTTGGGATTCTCTCTCTCTCCCTCTCTCTCTCTGCCCTCCCTCCCCCCAGCCCCTGCCTCAAAATTAAGAAATAAACTTAAAAAAAAAAAAAAAAAGAAGGAACTTGTATGCTATCTGCCCCTTGAAGCCTCCCTGCTCCGGGTCCCTAGGACCGTGCAAAGACCTCTTTCACGTGGGCCCTAGTTGTACAATACTGTTCTTACTGGTTTGTCTCTCTGTCCTGAGTTTGTTCCTGGGACTGGGCTTACACCTGCTTCACTTTGCTCCACGCACCCCGTTCTTGTTGAGTGAGGGTCCGTGAATGAGCCCACCAGTCAATAGCATGTTGCTGTCACTTCTTTCTCCATGACCTGGTTCTAGCAGTGGGGTTGATTTAGTAAGTTGGGGTCTTTGGATTTATTTTCTTTTCAAAACTTGAATTAAAAAAAAAAGTCTTTGATTTCAAACTCTGGGTATAGGTACTTTGAATATTCTTTGCCCTGCCATTGATTTTTTTTTTTCAGTTTATTTACTTATTTTGAGAGAGAGAGAAGGAGAGAGAGAGAATCCCAAGCAAGTTCTACAGTCAGTGCAGAGCCCAATGTCATGGACCACGAGATCATGACCTGAGCCCAAGTCAGACACTGATTGAGCCACCCAGGCGCCCTCCTGTCACTGTGTTTCAAATTCCCTTCTGAAGTTTGGCTTGATGAGAATAGATCCCCAGCAGAGCCCTTATGAGAGCACATTCTTTTGTTCAGTGGCTGTTGCAGGAATTTGACAAGTTGAGGCTTCAGAAAATTGATCACACTTACTGCTGTTGACTTCCTTGACTCATTATGTCACTGCAGTACCCGCACCCCAATCAGATTTTTAGAAAATGTTTCCAGGGAGCTGTGTACCCCTATGGGGAATGGAGACCACGAAGGCTATTCTTTTGTGTGACCACAAGATGGCAGGATTGATCCCATAAAACTCAGTTCACAGAGACTGATGTTTCTATCTGTAATATGACTCTGAATGAGGCTTGTTGTGTTAGGTTAGGTTGGGTTATTTAAAGGATTTTTATAAGATCTGGATGTACGTACTATGTACATACAGTGTATTTCAACTTTCTTTGAATTTTTTTTTTCCATCTGAGCCCTTCCTGTGGGCTATGGATATAAAGCAGGGGTTGGCAAACTACAACCCACAAGCCAAATGCAACCCATGGCCTGTTTTTACAAGTAAAGTTTTTTTGGAACTGTTTAAACAAACTGTTTAAATAAAGGTTGATTGTCCCTATTTTGGGGTGTTTCTTCTTTAAAAAATTGTGTGTGTGTGTGTGTGTATGTGTGTGTACGTTTTGCAAATTTTTATTAAAATTGTTTTAATTAAAATGTATTTGCATGCATGTATTTATTTTAGAAATATTGAGTATATTCTGTATATATAGTAGCTGTCCCATCTTTTATATGATGGAGTTTTAAACCTAACTGACCTCTACATAGTACACGTTACCTCCTTCAGGCCAGTCACCTTTGAAGGCTGAGTGCTTAATCCACCAAATCTACCGGTGTTTAAAACACATTAAAATTTCCATTTTGGAATCATTCTTAGAAGATGTATCCATTCCTTTGCTTCTTTTCCAGTTAAATGATACTATTTTGCGATGATCAAAATCCTTCAGAACACAGTCCTCTGGGTCAAATTGAGGTCATTAAAACTGGTTCAAGCATAAAGCAAAAAGGTAGTCATCGTGTTAGTTTTCTTCAGCATTAACACGTTCCAGAAGAATTCTCAAATGCCCTGGGCAGTGGCGGTCCAATTGGAGCAGCTGAAGCCTCTTTGCCTTCTTTCTGGTCGCTAGCAGCTCCTGGTCCCCATTTTACCATGAAAAATACAAGAGGCAAGGAAACAGGATAAAATGATCTGAAAGACTGCTCCGTAATGAGGCAGAGATAAAGCAGCATCCACTGACGGCTGCAGTTAAAATAGTAAAGAAAACAACTAGACAATTTGTACAATGGGGAGGCTGGACTATCGCCTTAGTCTAAATTTAGAAGGAGCTAAAAATAAGAAGCATCCTGAGTGCAGGTTTGAGGTCTGATGCAGGGACCGTCTTAACGGTGGTCACAGTGGATGTTTGGCCACCTTGACGGAGGGTCAGGCAGTGTCTCAGGGACCCTGGGGTCCACGTGAGCCCTGGACGGTGCCCAAGTAGGCAGGCGTGGCCCGATCTTGCCCTCAGAACCCTGAACTGAAATATGGGACTAACTTTCAGCACTGGATTATTTCTGAACCCCTTTGTTGCATAAGTTTGTTTCCTCTCTGAAAGCCCCACACCCTAGTGAGATAGAATGGGCTCTGGGACCACGTGTCTTGGGACTAAGTCCTGGTTCTGTGTTTATTAGCTTTCTGTCTTTGAACAGGTTATGCTTCATCTCTCTGTGCCTCAGTGTCCTTGTGCACAAAATGGGGATGATACCACAGTACTGTCTCACTAAGTTGTTGTGAGGGTTAATTGAGTTATAAAAGTGAAGTGTTTTGGGGTGCTTGGGTGGCTCAGTTGGTTAAGCATCCAGCTTCGGCTCAGGTCATGATCTCGTGGTTCATGAGTTCAAGCTCCACATCAGGCTCTGTGCTGACAGCTCAGAGCCTAAAGCCTGCTTCGGATTCTGTCTCTCTCTCTCTCTCTCTCTCTCTCTCTCTCTCTCTCTCTCTCTCTCTGCCCCTCCCCCGCTCATGCTCTTTCTCTGTCTCTCAAAAATGAATAAATGCTAAAAAAAAAATTAATAAAAATAAAAGTGAAGTGTTTAGGTCTTAGTGCTCGATAAATGTTACGTGTTCAAAGCACAGTCTCTTATGGAGACATGAAGATTTGTGGCTTGTAACCGGAAGCTGCTCACTTTTGATCTCTCTGGTCTCTACTCCATCCACCTCAACGTGCAACAGGTGAATTGTCTGAGAACTAAGTTTATGAATACCTTACTTAATTATTTCCCTTTCCCAGGCAGAAAGAAATGAATTCTGCTGACTAGGTGCTGAGACACCTGGGCCCCTTTTCAGAGATGGTGATTCCCATGACCCGGGGAGGGGCCTGGGGGTGCATTTGTACTTGTGGTTACTTAAAACTCAGGGGATTCTAACGTGCAGCTGGGATTGGGATCCACTACCTTTGCTCTCCAACGGTCTTTGTTTGTTGATACTCTTTTGATTGTCTTGGTAGAATGACAAGGTGATTGGAAAGTTATGGTCATACGCAGACCATCTGTGGTGGCATTTGTTGACATCATATTGTGGCCTGAGATTTTTGTAATGGAAATCCGTTAGGGGATGTGGAGTGTGTCCCCGCCCTTGTGTCCCTTGAGAAGGAAGCGTGGCAAATGGGTTGCTGTGTTGGCTTAGAAAATAAGAGATCTCATCCTCTGTGTTCTCCCTGAGACTCAGCTTCCCATCCTCAGTCATTGACCACCTGGGGTCCTTGTCAAAATCTTTCTTGAGCTACTTTCATCCCCCTCCCCCCACCTTTTTTTTTTTTTTTTTTAAATGTTTGTTTACTGATGTACTGGTAAGAAAATGGAGGAAGGATGTCTAGACAAAACGACAGTCCCTTGAGTGGCTGTTGTTATAGAGAGAACCTTGGAGTGAAGAGGAAGCTGAGGTAGGAAGTTGCAACACTGTTTGTGTGAGGTTTCCAGAAAGCCTCTCGAATGCTGCTGTGTGATTTATTTTGAATACTGGTCTCCTCTGGAGCTACTCACATTTGGAGCCAGGTTATTCTTTGTGGTGGGGGGGGGGGGGCTGTCCTGTGCATTAATGTAACCACTGTAAGTTAACGGTAGCCCCTTCCCCGAGTTGTGCCAACCAAAATCTCTTCACGTATTGTCAGCTGTCCCCTGAGCAACAAAATCTCCTCCCTTGGAGAGCCACTGGCCCGCTTTACTAGAAGGAAAACCCACATTACCCAGTTAGGGAAATATTCACAGTGAGCATCAATATAGAAAAGCAAATCTCGGTGTACAATAATTTTTAAAGGTTTTATTAAACACTTATTGAGGGAATTCTAACACAAATACCCTTCTCTGGCATCTCCCCCTGGGCCTCCCCCACCCACTGCCTTTTGAGTCAAGGGAAGAGCAAAGAACAAATAAATGCTTATTCTGAGGCCTTTCTCCCAAGTGTGAGTAGGATTGTTCTGACATAAGATATTTATCATTGAAATTAATTCTTGGCACAAAGGTATTTCTTTCAGTAATTCTGCAATCCCCACATTTTACGCAAGTTGAAAGAATCACTACAGAGCATCAATGGTGT